TAATGAGAGGTGGCTGCCACCATTAGTGACCATGTTGACCTCCCACACAAGCGCTTTAAACAGAGCATGTCTTCATCTTTGAGCCTCCAGACTTACTAAAGAGATTGGTGCATAATAGGTGCTCAATCTTTGCTTAACTGAATTGAGCATGATAAATACCGTATTTATCATGAGCTCTGGAAGTCCAATAGTGAGAATTAATTTCTAATTGTGGAAATTGAAAACAAAACGAAACACAACCTTCGGTGTGGGGGGTGGAAGAGGGTTGGAAGTTTGAACTGGCTGTTGAAATACAGGTAACATTTTCCCAGGAAGACATGGAAGATGTTAATGTAGAAAGGTCTTGGTTCATGGGTTTGAGGCTGGGTAAGGGAATCAGGAATGGTGCCTATTCTAGGTAAAGGGAACCGCTGTCATAAGGCCTGGGCTGAGGAATCAGAGATTCAAACTACAAAGCCAACGTTGAGCTCGTTCAGTTGCAGAAAGAGCATCTCTGAACAGGAGCCGACGGCCATAACTGGCACAGCCCAAATGGTCCTTCTTGTGAAGCTGCAGCGTGCGAGCCAGAGGCCCCGGGGAAAGCACACAGCCACACCTGTGCCCTACCGTGGCAACACCACTGGGGGCGGGGGGGAGGGGGTACCAACGTGTTGCCACGGTGCGATGTTCACATGAGGCCTAAGAGAGAAAAATGTCCCCTCCCTAGGCCAAGTGTCCACTCACTCAGCCAAGTGCTGGCTGCACACCTACTGCATGCAGGCATGGTGGGAGACACCAGGACGCACCCAACAAGGCCTCTGGCCTCAGGAAGCTTCTGAACTGGTGTGAGAGATAGTCAGCAGGTGAAGCAGCAATTAGATATCTCTAATTACAGCACCCAGTGGTGATAAGGCCATGAGGGAAATAAAGGTAGACAATGATGGCCGTGGGGGCTTCCTAGAGAAGGGGTCAGGGAAGCCGTCCCTGAGGTGGCGTTTGAGCAGAGGGACGAGCCAGGTAAGGCAGGGAGTGCGTAGACATCAGGGAGAAGCACTTCTCCGCTGGAAGGAAGAGTCACAGGAACGACCCAGAGCGGGAACGAACTCTGTGTGTGCAGAGAAGCAGGCAGGCCAGCGGGAACAGGTGGGCAGGGGCTGCATGGGAGGAGCCATGGCCAGCAAGGGATGAGGGACAGACCCCTTAGCCAGGGTTGGTCGTGACCACAGCAGGAGAACAGGGGGTTCCGAGCAGGGAGTCATGTGATCAGCTTGCACTGGCTGCCGTGTGGGGAGCAGGGCAAAGTTCAGGGGTGACCTGCAGGCAGTGGCAGCAGTCCAGAGGGGAGGATGAGGACGAGGCCCGGACCACAGTGGAAGCAACACCGGGGGGCTGTCACCACAGGTATGAGGAGACGACAAGTCAGGTGGGTGCCTGGTCTGCGGCCTGAGTCACTGGCCTGTGAGGCTGCTTTCTTTCCTTCAGTGAGCTCACAACCGAGTCAGGCACACACGTGACTCGGACTGGGCAACAGGTCACGCCCGGTCCCCTCTCCCTAGGAAACAGATAACGTAAGGTAGGCCACAGGTGCCTCCAGCCGCCTACGCCCCGTGTGCCCAGAATGCAGCAGGGACAGGTGCACCTAGAGGGCACGGGGCCGAGCCTTGGCACACACGTGTCTGGCCTCATTCTACCCACAGGGCGGGCAAAGTCTGCGGTGTCCCCACCAAACACCAGACTGGTGGCCTGGCCTGGGTCTGGGCAGAGGGGTTGAAGTGCCATGGAGCCATGTCTGGCATAGGCTGCCCTCCTGGGAGCTGAGCTAAGCCAGTGGTGCGGGAGGGCATGCTGACACTCCGGGAGCCTGGACACACGGGGACCTTGACTGTCTAGACCAACGACAAAGAAAATAAAAAGAAAATGAAAGCGAGTCAGGAGGAGCTTCAGGGCAAAGGCGGAGCTGCCACAGGACACCAGGCACCGGCCTGCACATATGTCCCCAGACCCCACATCAGTGCTGGCCACGGACTGAGATGGACCAGGCATGACAGATGCTTCCATAGCTCTGCGCTGTGCCTCGCTGATGCCTTGTGGTTCGGCTTGGACTCCTGCTCACTGAGAGCTGAATAAAGAAGCCCTGCTTCCAACAAGCCAGAGGCCTGGCCCCTACACCCCACAGCCAGGACCCAGAGCAAAGGTCCCGGACACCACGCGGACACAGCAGCGCTGACCTGTCTTGGAGAGAAAGGGAGGGAATGTGCTCCTTTTGTGGTAAACACATCACAACTGTGTGCACAGGGCTGGCTCGAGGGTGCACGAAATCCCCCTCCTCTTCCGGGGACTTGAGCTCTTGGAAGGGTCCTTGCTCTGGGTTCTGGTTTTATTAGATTAATTCTCACCCCAAAAGCAATGCTCTGAAGGTGAGGAGGAAATTCCCGCTGCGCTATTCATGACCCTTATGAATACGGGAAGAAACAGCCAAAGAAAGAAAAGATATTTCACATTTGAAGGGCACGTCCAGGTGCCCCGAGAACTGAGGCAGTTCGTAAATGATTTCCTTTGCAAAGTTCCAGCTCACAACTCAAGTCATTCTTCAAGGAGAAATACATGATTTGCCAAACATGAAATGGAATCATTAAGCCCCATGAAGTCAGAGGCAGAGAAAACTGTGGCCCCCCCTCCCTCTCCTTAACAAATGAGGGACCCTTGTGGAAGGCATTCCAGACCGACGCTAGTGTGGAGTTCTGCCCAGAAGAAAGACGCTCATGGATCATTGAAATGCATGTAGTTCCACTTATCTTAGACAGTTAAATTACCCACCCCAGCCTACCCCACCATGCAAACACACAGAAAGAATTTGTCTTCTTCTAGATAGCTGTGTACTACAAGCAGCACACACACACACACACACACACACACACACACACACACACATACACACACGGGATAAGCCGGACTTGAACCAGGGCTATTGAAAACAGGAGGATACCCCTGCATAGGACCACACGTGGGAGTGTGTACGCACATGCACCTTCAGGAGTGCATGTAAAACCCAGTCACACCTGAACAAGGTCTGCAGTCCAGTTAGCAGGAGCAGGTCAGCGTCAGCTCTTGGACTTGATGTTATGCTGGCGTTACAGACGTTACCACGGTGGGGAGCTGGGGCAAGAAGCTGGGGGCTCCCGGGACTCTGGACCCATTTTGCAATTTCCTGTGAGTCTATAATTATTTCAAAATAGTTTTTAAAAATGTCAAATGTGCTGGCCTCTGACCAAATACAATACGCGGTTGTACAGGTCCTTCTCGTTTCCCTATATGCAGAGCTGCTTTGGGCAATGCCTAGAAATAGCCTTCGTCACTGTGACCCCAGAGACCGCCTGACAGAAATCATGTCCCAGAGGTGACAAGAAGTTGATCGCAGAGGGAGGATTTAGAGCGTGTGTCCTTAAGTCACCTTGTCCAAACCAGCCCTGTGGAAGATGAGGGGGTGGCAGACACATCATGCTGAAGGGTCTGCTCCCACAGGCCCTGGTCCTCTGCCCACCAACCCTGCCTGGGGGTCCAGCCATAGTAACTCTGAGGTCAAACTCTCACCAGCTCTGTCCCCGGCCCAGACATTCTCGAGGTTTATAGCATGGATCAGAATCACAAAGAATGCACTTAACGTGCTGATTCCGGGGCCAGCTGGTAGCACAGCAGTAATGCAACTGGGCTGACATGGGAGAGACGTGGGTTTGCATGCAAGCACCTCCTTGGGCACGCAGACGTGCATGCACATGCCCAAGACCAGGGTCAGCTGAGACAGGGTGGGTCACAGTGTGGGACCCTGTTCAGGATGCCTATCTTTCTCTTTCCTTCTCTCTCTGCATCTCTCACTCTCATGAAATAGATAATATATATATTTTTGCCTTTTTCAGAGAGATTTTTGCTATAGGGTGTGTGTACTCACTGGAGGCACAGAGAAAGATTGAGAGAGAAAAAGACACCTCGGGGGGAATGGCCATGCTGTAATCCCTTCTCCTCCATTCTCCTCTTGGGATTTTGGGCATGCATGCACAGACGCCTGGCATGAGTTTCAAGCCAGTGGGTCCAGGACTTCAACTGTGGTTGGCCGTGTGGGAATCCAGCGCCTTAACCACTATGCCACCTGCTGGCCCAATAAATACTGTCTTAATGCTAATTCCCAGGCCCTGCCTCCCAAAGATCCTGACTGAGTAGGTTAAAGATGGGGCCTGGCTTATGTCACAGTGGGTCCTAGGGCTGCACTTTCAGAAACACTGCCAGACCTTGGGAGGGTGCTGGGAAGCACACCCAGGCTGGCTCCTCATCTCAGGGTGGGGAAAAGAGCCGGCAGTGCTCAGCAGTCCTAAAGAAAAATACTCTTCACACCAATAGAGAGAACTTCAGCCTCTACCTTTAAAAACATGACAGAGATCTCAAACCCCTGTGCTTAAGGAGACACCACAGACAGGCACGGGAGCCTCTGGTATTAGTCCTGCCCTTCGGAGGAAAGTCAGAGTTTAAACTCCGTTATCATCTCATGCGTTTTCACGAGAACAGATGATACGCTAAGTACTTAGCCCTCGCTAAGCTACTCCAAAGGAGTGATTTATTATCCCTATTTTATAGGAAAGAAAACTGAGCCTCAAGAGTCTCAGGTAGAAGGTGGCTGAGCCAGGAGTTAGCGTGGACCTCCTCCAGTTTCCTCTCCTCCAGAGAAAACATTCTGCTTAAACATAATGGAAGCCTCAGGGGACTGCAGGGAGGGGAAGTGGGACCTTCCAATTCTTATTTCAATGCCACCTATCCTCTTGGCCAACTTCAAGCAGATCTTAATTTCCCTCTCTGCCTCTCTCTCTTTCATCTCTGTCCTCTCCTCTCCTCTGTCCCCTTTTCACTTTTCTCCTTGTGTCTCCAAAGTCCAACATGACAGTCTTGCATGTTCCTCTGTCTTTCTCGTCCCCCACTGCTTTATAAAAGAATTTTCTCCTGCCGCTGGGTTCCTAGCAAGGCAGATGACCTACCATTTTCCAGAGGACACTGTGGAATCTTGTTTGCCCGAAGGTTCCATATGTAATCCATGTTCCACTCAAGACACACTTGATGGTCTTTGAAAGGGCGTTCGAAAGGCGGGACTGTCTTGAGCAGAGTGTAATTCTTTGCTACAGCGTGGAGCAAGTTCTCCTCCCACTTCACATTCAAGTCTCCACTGCCGTATCTGTGAGTAATCCAGGCGCGGAGCACCACTGCAGAGACCGAGATGGAGTGTCTGATGAAGTAATCATCGCGGTACACCATAATGCTTGGAAATTTCACATGCACTATTTGCGTCCTGCTAGTGTGAAGATGTTTCTCATTCTTCCACCTTTTTTTGTACACGGGAATGCTGCTTCTGAACTCAGATGAAACAACCGCTTCCAAATTGACAACACAAGGCTGAGAGCATAAATACTCGACGGAGACTTCAGACACGTTGCGCACGTTCCCTTCAAAGACGGTGAAGTAAATGAAGTCTTTGTAAGCCACGCTCTGCTGGGCGTTGGGTGTCACGGCTGTCGTCAGCGAGGTCTGCCTCCCCCAAGACGGCACGAAATTCTAAAAAGGAGGGAAACGTAGTGAGAGATACAGAACGTTTAAAGATCATCATAAAAACAGGTATGCGAATCAATAGCTTCCCGGGATTAAAGATACCAGTGTACACCAAGCAATCAACGGAAAGATAAAAAATGTCAAAGCCAGTACTGCACGACTGGCAAGAAACCAACACACACACACACACACACAAATGAAGACCAGGCCACATTAAACCCTCTCCCCAGACTCAGCAGCATCTGCTGATCACAATGTGACTTTCTAAGCGACATGGCAACGATTCCAGATTTGGTTTCCAACTGGAGGAGCTAATTCACAACGAATCCAGTAGCTGTTAAACCTGCCTTCCAGTGAAAAAGAGACCACTGGCTTCAGACATCTTCCACCTATTGTCCTGACTTCAAACGGTGGTCAAACGCTGCTAGATCAAAGGGTGGGAGAGAGTTCAAAGTGCACCTGAGAGAGAGGGATTGTAACAGGAACGCCATCCGGCCCCTCTTCTCCTGCAAGTTCAGAGCCAAGACAAGCCTGCATGCCGGATGGAGCAGCAGGAGGTTTCTGCTGCTCCAAATCACACACCACACGGGCGAGCTTGGACTGTGGACTGCGTGGTCTGATTCTTTCACCGTGAAAGATACTACGCATGCCAAGGAAGATCTGAGCTGTGGTGGTTGATCTGGGTCTTCAGATGATCCAGCCTTTCAGTGCGGACCCTTCTTCCAGAAGAAACCCGGGAAAGTTGGTCATGAAATCGAGGCAATGTTTTGAGCATGAGATGTGGTGTGACCACTAAGAGCTTGTCTAGATATGCTGTGATGGACCCAAACAATGCAAAAACGTCACTTTGGACCACTTTAGGGTGGCTACTGTAAAAAAATAAATCAATGAACAAGTGTTAGTGAGACTGCGGGGAAGTTAGGGTCCTTGTGCACCAATAGAGGGGACGCAAAATGGTGCAGCTGCTGTGGAAGACAGCGTGGTGGCTTCTCAGACAAATTAAACACAGAATTGCCTTATAGAGCTGACCCATGAACCGTGCAGATTTGAACTGGGTGGGTCCACTTCTACTCGGATATTTTGCAATTGATATGTTGAAAAATATTGTCCAATACTATGTGCTTCCTCTTCCTTATGATTTTCTTACTAACAATTTCTTTTTTCTGGCTTACTTTATGGAAAGAATACAGTGTGTATCAGGCCAGCAGGTGGAGTGCAGTTTAAGGCAATAGATCTCACATTGCCAGCTGTGCAGTTTGAATCCCAGCTCAGCAGTTTGAGAATCATGCCAGGCATGTATGCATGCATGCCTGAAATCCTGAAAGGAGGCTAGAGGAGAAGGGGTTGTGGCATGGTCATTCCAAGGGTAGGAGGAGAGGGCTGGTGGCTTCTTGCATTCTCTTTCTAACTCACTCTGGCACATGCTCTATTGTGAAAACTAAAATAAGTCAATAAAACAAATAAAAAATAAAGAACAAAAAAACCACAGTATGTAATACATATAAGATACAAAATACATGTTAATCTACCAGTGAGGGTTCTGGTCAACAATAGGCTATCAGTACTTAAGTTTTGGGGGAGTCAAAAGTTATGTGGGTTTATGGACTGCATGGGGGGTGCACCCCTAACCCCAATGTCGTTAAGGGGTCTACTGTAATCTGATGCAGCAATTCCACTTGTAGTTATACACCCAATAGAGCTGGAAGTAAGGACTTGAAGAGATGTCTGTACACCTCTGTTCATAGCAGCATGATTACAACAGCTAAAGAGAACCCTACTGTCTGTCAATACATGAAGCGATCATCAAAATGTGGTATGAACACACATGCCATGAAATGTCATTCGGTCCTAAAGGGGGGGGTGAAATTCTGATACACGCTATCACACAGATAAGCTTTGAAGACATTATGCTAAGTGAAACAAGCAACACGAAAGAACAAATACTGTACCTGTGAGGTACCATGAAGAGGCAAATTCATAGAGACAGAAAGAAAATCATGGCTACCAGGGTCAGAGGAAGAAGTTGGTGTTTAATAAGTCCAGAGTTTGAGAAGAAGAAAAGGCACTGGAGATGGAAGGGGTGAAGATTGCACAACAAAATGAGTTTACTTAACATTCTGTTCTACACTTACAAGTAGTTAAAATGGTAGGTTTTGCTTTACGAGCATTTTAACTATAATTTTTTAAAGTTTATTTTTTCCAGGATCGAGAAAGAGAAAGAAAGCATCCTTAAAAGGATCTTAATATTGTTATCCATCTCCAGCTCCAGTCAGCCCCAGATCATGGGTAAGACACGGCCAGTCAACCAAAGGAGGTATCTACACTTAAACCAGAAACCTTCCCATATGGGATTGCCTCACAGAGGGTCCCTTTTTTACCACCATTGCACTATCTGGTCGCTCAACCACAATTTCAAAGGAAAAAAAGACACTTTGGTCTCCTCCATGGCTGTAGGAGAGACAAAGGTGATATGAAGTCTACTATAAATAAGAGCCATACAAGGCAGAACATGACCAGTGTGCCAGTCAAATTATAAATAAGCACAAGGGAGCACAACACCAGGAGAGAGTAATTCTGATGTTGGGTTCTACAATAGCTTCAATGGAGGAAATGGTATTTCAGTTGGGCTTTGAGGGATAAAGAGAAGGTCTTCAGATAGAAAGGCAAGGGAAAGGCATTGCAAGTAGTATAAGCAGGGCAAAAACGTAGAAAAAGGCAGGTATATCTAAAAAATAGTGAGCAGCTTGGTTTGTCAGAAACTAGAAGTAGAGAAGAAAGTGGACATGGGAATACAAGATTGAAAAGTAAAGCAGGGTCTTGGCCCTGGAGAGCACTGAATCTCAGCCCAAAGAATGTGAACTCTCATTACACTGACAGCCAAGAATCAATGAAGGCTTCTGTAAATGTGGGTGGGGTTGCTTTTTAAGCAACTGACAATCCATTGGAAAGAAAGCTAACAATCCATCCATTAGAAAAAGAAGTAAACAACTTAGTTCATAGAGAAGTAAACTCTCCCTCATGGTGAAAGAAATGCAAAGGGAAAACACACTAAAATACCATTTTTTAACCTATTAAATTCACAAAGATCAAAAAGTAACATACTGGCTGGTGCATAAGGGAGCAAATCCTCTTATTTATTGCTGGTAGCAATAATCGTTATGAGGCCAGTATCTACCAAAGATATAAATGCACCCACCCTCTGGCCCAGTAATTCCACTTGTGAGGTTTTATCCTACTAATATACTCAAATTTGTGCAAAATGATGTATATATAGGTTTTCACTGCAGCGAAAATAGGCAGAAAGCCTACATGTTCATCAAGAGGGCCACAGAATAAATCATATCCACTCATGGAGTACTATACAGTATTAAAGAGAGGAAGATCTTTGTGGACAGTTAATAGAATGAACTCCAAAGATTTTTTCTGTCTTTTTTAAAAGCAGGTTCAGC